TTAAAGCTTGTATTTTAACCTAAACAACTAATTCTGTACTATGCAGTTATCCCACTGTTCTTTGGCAATGTTACTGTGATTGACAATAGCTCGTTTGCATTTCAAGACATATTATTTCTTAGCTAGATTTAATTGAAAATACCAAGGATTTACCTGGTGCTTTCTGGGTACCAAGTATATGAGGCAATCTATAAATGGAGCACATGTACAGACATAACCATCCAGCAGGCCAGAAGAAAATGCCTTCCATTACATGACTATGTTTAACTTGCTACTACATACAGATTCTGTATTAACTATCTAATGTAGGTGACCTCTTGTGGGACTCAGTTTAGTCATCTTGCAGCTATGGTAGGGAGATGGTTTCACTAAAGTAAATGCTTCTGAAAGTGCTTTTGTTTGAAAAATATGGGTGTGCCATGAAGTAAGCTTGCATAGAATCTTCTAGAATGTTCCATTTTCCATCTATTAGGGAAAATTCAAGAGCTTGTCTCAAAAGAATGAACTTGTTATGGTGGCATCAACACTCAAGGTGCAGAACCATCTAGGCTCATCATATCTGAATATTTTGTCTCTCACTTCCTTTATTTATATAAAAACCTTATTTTACCCTTCCCTTAGATAACACATTTTGGTCTGCTCTTATAGCAGAACAGATTGCTTTCTCAGCAACTCTTGATTTCTATTCTAGTTATACTTTGACATAGTAGAAACCTGCCAATCCTTGTAGCAGTTGCTGTGATATTGTGCTTCCAAGAACTTGACAAGAACATGGTTTAACTTTTTACGTTAAAGTGGATTTTGAATCTTCAAAAAAAAAAAATTAAGTGCAGCTTTATAATAATCAAACTTGCACAGAGAATGTTCTTTCAGGAGATATTTCTATAAGTAATTTTACATGTGTTGTGCTTAGCATGACTGACATATATTCAAACTGATCCTTGTAGCAGTTGCTGTGATATTGTGCTTCCAAGAACTTGACAAGAACATGGTTTAACTTTTTACGTTAAAGTGGATTTTGAATCTTCAAAAAAAAAAAATTAAGTGCAGCTTTATAATAATCAAACTTGCACAGAGAATGTTCTTTCAGGAGATATTTCTATAAGTAATTTTACATGTGTTGTGCTTAGCATGACTGACATATATTCAAACTGATCCTGGCTGCAACCAGTCCATCACAATGTGGTCTGAGCACATTACTAGTTGAAACAATATTTCTTTCAGCATTGTTTGATTTTTCAGTAATCACATGCTTGAATGTCCAAAAGGTTCCAAGTAGGAATGTGCAGCTTGGTTGTTCTGCTTGAAGAGAGGGTTAGAGACAGTTCAAGGTCTAATTCCCCAAAGTTAAACAGGCTTCGAAAAGAAGAGTCAGACAGTTCGGAAGTCAGAAACCAAACCAATCTAAATAAAGCTCTGAAGAATAAAGACCAAAGAACAAAGACCAGGGTCTAAGCAACAGAGAGTCAGTGCACCAAGGAAGTCTATTAAGAGTCTGAGCTCTATGTGAGAGCCAGTTTGGTGGTGTGGTTAAGGCATCAGGCTAGAAACTGGGAGACGTAGGGCCAGCTGCTCTCTCTCAGCCCTAGGAAGGAGGTCATGGCAAACCATTTGCCAAGAAAACTGCAGGAACTTGTCCAGGCAGTGACCAGGAGTCAAAAACTGACTCGAAGGCACAAGAACAACAGAAAAGCACCTCTATGCACAAGGATATCCATCTTCACAAACAGAAGACGTTAATTCCAACAATGAGCAACTCTTCAGAGAACTTTATAATGGGAATTGTAGCCATACTACTCTTACTCAGCTGGTGTTTAGCAAAGGTGATCTGGTTCCAAGGTCACCCAGACTTGCTGGACTTCTCTCAAATCAACCTTTTTTCTCTCAGCCTTTCTTCTTAAGGTGTTCTTCCTTGAAAGGGCACTGTTCCTTCTGATAATTCAACCCAGTAGTACCAGCATTCAGATGGGCTAGGTAGTGCTACTGGTGAGTAGTGGGCAGAATATTTCAGGTTAATGGGGACTTATAGTGGCCCAGTTCTATGATAGGGCCCGGTTCATCCAGGGAAGGGGGCTCATACGAATATCCTGACCCTCCTTCTTGCTCTGAACATCTTCCTCAGATGGCATAAGCGTAATTCTGATCTCTCTCAATGCTGCCTGAATTTACATGTTATGTGTGTACCACTTGATTCTGTGAATCTTTTTCAGCAAATCACCCAAATCCAACCTTATATGACTGTTGGTATACATAGTCGTTTTGCCTACAACTGTCCCTAACATATACTTTTCTATGCAGTGATCCTTAATACGTGCTTTATTTAAACACAGTGAGCCAATGTATTTTCTGTATACAACTTTCCCCAAAAATACTAATAATGGTGTTTGTAACAAGCCACCACTGATGTCATAATCGTGACACGTCCATCATGATGTCATCACGCAAACAATGCAACATGTTATTGTGTCTGGCACAAGTCTTTAAGTCATGCCATTTGATTAATATCAGGATACATTCCTCCCCCATAATCATCCATGCATACAGATGTTGTATGCAACTTTTCAAAATAAATGCTGTTTTTAGGGACCTTTCCACCAAAGCCTGATGAACATCAGTGCGGTTGGTCAGCTGTTGCCATCCATGCTAAGATGAAGTCTACTTAGCCAAAGCAAATTCTGTCACAGAAGAAGGAAATCTCAGATACATTTATTTTATTTATTTCTTGGGGAGGTACCATAACTTTCATTAATCATTTTGCTAAGCTGAAAGTTGCCTGTTTCTTAAGTAAGCAATGGCCATGGAGTTGTAGGTCTTCAAGTAAACAACCTCTTTTGACAAAATAAAGGAATGGTTTGGAGGAGAAGGGAAATGGCTGGAGGCTAAAATGTGTGTGAAAAGCCACAATATGTGTCTTGGTTGTAGAGCTGGAATTATCTGGTGACAAAAACTGGACTCTTATGCAGTTGTGAAATGACCTGTAAGCTTCAGATAAACAACTTGTCCCTCTTCTGTATGAGCCATTAGTCTGGCGGGGAAATACACTGTCAAAGAATAAAGTCTCCACATCATGTGTATTTTTATCAAAATATTCTGATTACCCACTGCATTAAAAAAAATAATGAGACAATCCCTTTAAGGGATTTTGGGAATGGCTTGAAAAATGTCTGACAGAGAGAACTGAAATATTCATTACTATGTTAATGAGTATCATATATTTAAGTTTTTAACCCTAACTTTTATTTCTTAGAGGGAACATTTTAGGAAATGTTCTGATCTCTCCCCTCCTTCCCCAATTTTCTTTTAACTTTTCTGATCTTCCATTGTCATGGCTACTGGAGAAGAGTAAGCTTAACTAAATAAAATGGGAACAAAGCCTTGCTATTATAACCCCTGATATATCACGAAACCTTATTGCAAGAAAAAAATAAAATAACATCTAACACCTACAATAGTATAGACTGGAAATGTTGACTTTGTATGTGTACTGTATGCCGAGTTTACGTTCATGAATTTTTTAGAAAAGAATACATTATTATACAAATGGTATTTCATGTTCTGATCGGAAAATTACTCTGATTAAAATGACCTTGAAAAAATGGCAGGCTAGTAAGAATTGTCCTGAGAATTGTAGTATTTTTTTAGTGACGTGTTAAGATTTTTAATGCCTTTTTTCCTCCTCCATTTCCAAATCATGTATTCTGATAAGATTTTCAGACATGATGTGTATTATTTCAAAGCATGAAATTTGTTCTCTGGATGTATTAAAAGATTATTAATTAACCTCTGAACAGGCAATTAGGAGAGGCAGAAGGAAGGCATGCTTTCTTATATTGAGTGAAATTACATTTGTTATGCAACACATTGATCAATTTACTCCACGGGACTCACAGTGCACTCCTGTGCACGCTGGTTTATATTGATTGATTGATGCAGGTCTCACGACAGAACGATCTTCCCTTAACTAAGAAATTGCCCAGGATACCTTCAATACTAGAATAATCTTGTTGGCAGCAACAACTGTGTCATTTGCAACAAAATAATTTTTTTTCTGCAGCAATAAAAATTGAGCTTGGCTAGATCAACAGCTGGACTCTCGCTTTGTAAATTAGTTGAAGACTGCTTTTGCATATTGAAATGCGTGGTGATATTTCTGATGTTCTGTTGTGACAGCTTCTTTCTAATTTGAAAGGTAGCCCTTAATCATCAGTGATTCTTCTTGTAGCTCCTGGTGGCTGCTCTGCATTTAATAATAGAATTAAATGTCCCCTACAAAGTCCGCTGTGTTAGCATTTTCATCAGTGAGTTGCAATAACAATTAATGCAGCAATTCTACAACTTTACTAGGAAAAGCACTGAGCAGTTTGGAAATCTGCTCTACAGCAGTTTTCTTATATAAACCCAATAGATAGCAAATTGATTTTCTAACATAACATTCATCTTTACAAACTGTATAGCTACAGTAGGGTTTTTCCAGGACTTTGTAAATCGCAGATCCACAGTCAGCCTCATCTTGGAACCACCTGTCTTAAACCTCCAGTAGTATTAGAGGATGAAAGGGTGTTTGGGGAGACACAGTGAGACATGAAACGAGGTTTGTAGCTGAATCATAAATGCATGAATCTTAAATTTGTTGCGCACTAGTCTTTCAGTAATCATGTTTTGTTAACCTGAGAAGTGACTGATGAGATTACTTGGATGGACAGGTTCTTGTTAATGGCATCTAATTGATGGAATTCTTTCTGATCTCTTTATTCAGGTATCCCCACACTTTGAATGATTAGGACATAATGACAGCTGAAGATTCTACTACAAGGATGAGTAATGATTCCTCCAGCATGCAGACAAATAAAGTCCCCGAAGGTCTATCTGGAGCTCCAAATGAAGCCGCGCTGTTGCAATTATTAGATCGTACTGGCTACACCATGGTTCAGGAGAACGGGCAGCGAAAGTACGGCGGTCCACCCCCTGGCTGGGAAGGCTTACATCCTCCTCGGGGATGTGAAGTCTTTGTGGGCAAAATTCCTCGGGATGTCTACGAAGATGAGCTGGTCCCTGTGTTTGAGGCTGCAGGACGAATCTACGAAATGCGCCTGATGATGGACTTTGATGGGAAAAACCGTGGCTACGCCTTTGTGATGTACACCCAGAAATACGAAGCCAAGCGTGCCGTCAAAGAGCTGAACAACTACGAGATCCGTCCAGGAAGACTGTTAGGAGTGTGTTGTAGCGTGGACAACTGCCGGCTGTTCATTGGCGGAATCCCCAAGATGAAAAAACGAGAGGAGATTTTGGAAGAGATCTCCAAGGTGACGGAAGGGGTGCTCGACGTCATTGTCTATGCCAGCGCAGCTGATAAGATGAAAAACAGAGGATTTGCCTTTGTGGAATATGAAAGCCACAGAGCAGCCGCCATGGCAAGAAGGAAGCTGATGCCTGGCAGAATCCAGCTGTGGGGGCACCAGATAGCTGTTGACTGGGCCGAACCAGAGATCGATGTGGACGAAGATGTCATGGAGACTGTAAAAATCTTGTATGTGCGGAATTTAATGATTGAGACCACGGAGGATACAATAAAAAAAGTCTTTGGTCAGTTTAATCCTGGCAGCGTAGAACGGGTTAAGAAAATCCGAGATTACGCTTTTGTACACTTTACGAGCCGGGAAGATGCTGTTCACGCCATGAATAACCTCAACGGCACTGAACTCGAAGGATCCTGTCTGGAAGTCACCTTGGCCAAGCCGGTGGATAAAGAGCAGTACACCCGATACCAGAAAGCAGCGAAAGGAGGAGGAGCAACAGCAGCTGAAGTGACTCAGCAACCTAACTATGTTTACTCTTGCGATCCGTACACTCTAGCCTATTACGGGTATCCATACAATGCCCTGATTGGTCCAAATCGAGAATATTTTGTGAAAGGTGAGTGTATAAATTTTGGCACAGGTCAGGAGGGATTAGAGTTACATCTCAACGATAGCTGACTTTGTCTGGGCTTGGGAGCTAAGAAGGGTTGGGACTTTGAGGCCACCAGGAAGTACCAGGGTTGTAGGCTTGACTGGAAAGTTGAAAAAACTTTCTGGAAAAAGATAATGGCAATCTATTTCCTCATTGTTGCCACGAAATCTACATGGGAGTGTCCATGGAGTCATCAAGGTTGAAGCTTGGCTAGATGATATCTTTTTTAGTCTGGCTAGCTGGCAGCATCTTGCTAAGCTCCATGATCTTGAAAAACAAAGCCTGACTAGCACTTGGATGACAGACCACGAGGAGATCTCAAGGCTGTAAGCTAGACTGGGAAGGGGGAGAAAACAACCCGGAAGAAGGCATTAGTAAAGCATTTCTGTATTGTTACCAAGAAAAGAATGTAGACACGCTCATGAAGTCACCAAGAGCTGAGGTTAAGTAAAAGATTATTTTTGTTATATTTATTCCACTGCTGAGGCCTATTTTTCTTAAGTGGCTTTCCTCATTTGAATGCTGTCCAGATGTGCTGGGAATACAGTTCCTAGAATTCTTAAACATTGTGGCCCAGAGGAACGCCTCAGACTGGGGAAGTTCGATCTTTGACCTTGCTTAACTCGTATAGAACATTTTTAAAATCCTGCCTGTCAATAATATTTCCAGCTTCTCAGCTCTAGCATAGCTCAGTTCTGACTTAAGAGGCAACACACAACATGAATGAAAAAAGAGAAATCGTAGCAACCCCCATCTTTATCCGTTTTAATTGTCTACCCCTCTAATATTGCATTTGGAATTATGCGTCTGTGGGTTTGAAAATCAAACAGTAGTAAGAAAGTTATTTCTGTGTTCTTGGAAGATTCCAAGGGGCACAGAGGCATATTTTTGTATCAATTAAAAGGGAAAATGAGAGATGAAAGGAATCCTCCAAAAGTCTGCTCTGACGTCCCAGGAGAGAGATAGATAATAGAGAGAGAGAGAGAGAGAGAGATAATAGTTAATAGAGAGAGATGATAGATAGATAGATAGATAGACAGACAGACAGACAGACAGATAGATAGATAGTTTTTAGTGCTGGTTTAATTGGGAGTG